TATTTACATTGGAGAAGACTCTTCCCGGCAGGTTTTTAGGGCTGTCTCTTGAATCCTCTTGGGGGCTTGGTTTGCAAGACCACAATCCTGCAGTGGAACGCAGCCAGTGCCAGCTGCTTATTAAAGGATTTTGTGCCAATTTGTTGGCAGATCATTTGAGACTCCTCCACCCCACCTCACCCCCTTCGGAGTATATACATACATAGACAAATATTTATTTTCCCCCAACTGCTGACAGTGTTCTAAGAATAGTTTTCTTGCCTGGCGTGCAGAGAGCAAGGGCCCGTCTGCAGAGGTGTTTACAGTTTGGGACTGTGCTGTAGTCTTGGTTGACTTAGCAGCCTGGCAGACCAGCCTCACAGCTCCTGGGACGCTGTCTGTTTTTTCTCTGGGCTAACCTCCCTGCCTTATAGGGAAACACAGTCAGAGAAGGGTGACTTTTGCTCCCTATGGGTAATTTCTGGCAGGCAGCCCAGCAGAGACCCCTGAGCTCCTGACCTCTTTGCATGTAGCCAGCATAAAGTCTCCTTGTGGTGGTGTGTGGGAGGGAACTGCTCTACGTCATCACGTAAAACCACAGCCACCTCAGGGCGCTGGGCAGGAATCCTTGCAGTTGTCTACTGGTCCTATCCTTTGGGTAGTCCTTGCCATGTTTCTTCTTGCCTTTCTTCGGAATCTGGGATTATCCATTCTCTTGATGTGTCCTTTCTGTGTAAGAGTTAATAGAGAAAGAAAAAGAAGTTATTGCTCAAGAAGTGATAAAAGAGTGTAAAGGAAGAGCGTATCATTTTAACCTGGAAAAATTTTTGGAAATATTTAACAGAGTCTATAGAGGCATATGGATATTAAATGTGAATAGTGGCAAAATTGCCATGTAGTCCAAAATTATTATTTCCTTTCTTCCCTCTTCTCTGTCTCCTTCCCTCTCCCTCTGTTCCTTCCTTTTTTAGGTCTCAGAAAAAAAATATCCTGGAAGCCATTATTTTCTGATGTCAAAGAGACTTTCTGCCTAAATGGACTGTGTTAGTCTGAATTACATCTTGACCTGTATTATGGGTGTGCATGGAAGGTGAATCTTAAGTTTCAAAATAGGAATGGAAAGGTTCTGTCCACTATTTGAAAATTTAGGCCACAAGACCTGCTACTTTTTAGGGAGATTTTTTGGGGGCATTGTTTGCTTCATTTTTAGGCAAGTAAAGGGCTGAAGCTAGTACCTGTACTATTAATTACTACGAAAATATTGGGTTCAGATTTCCAATTAATGTTGTTTTTTTCCTCTTTCACAGGAGGAATTAAAAACGATGTCTGTGTTGTCACATATCCATGTGATTTAAGAATGTATTGCTTTTCTTTGAGTTCCCACTAAAAATGGTACTTTGGCCTTTTAAGCTGTTTTTGTGAAGACTTTTCTTTCCACCAAGCTTGTTTTCCAGATAGGTCTTGGAGATTACAAAGAACATAGATATAATTTCTTCCTTGATTGGCATCTGTGAGCTTTCCGGGACAAAAATAATGCTGCACTGTGCCAAATGGTTGACTTTTCTAGAATAAAAACTCTAAAGGGTATGCAAAAAGTCCTCTGGTTAATATATTGGCATTCCCAGAACCCACTAACACTCCGGCAGCCTGCCAGACTCCACTTAACGAGGACACAGAATGTCTGGCTCAATCCCCATGAGCAGACGGGGGTGGGGTCTGGATGTCCACACCCTTTATTAATTTTTAATGACTGTACTTTTGTTTTGCAGATTTTCCTCTATACCCCCCTCTCAACCGTCTCCTACAATGTCACTCCCCCCATCCATTTATTTACTCATTTACTTGGCATCAGAAAAATGTCCAGCGGTTCAGGGTTAAGAATCCTGCTGAGGGATCGTTTCTGTTTGCATAGGTTCTTTTGTTGTTGGGTTTTTTCTTTTTCTTCCTATGTGTTTTTTTTTTTCTTTTTTTGGAAGAGGAAGACAGAAAAGGAACAGAAAAGATGACAACTATTTTTTTTTTTTAAGGATGCTTTATTGTCTGCTGGAAAAAGAGAAGCATTTACGAAACTTTAAGTTTGTCAGACAGTTTATGTGACAGTGCAAGTTGGTGCTTGCCAAGCTCCAGACAGATTGTTAATGTTACATGACAGGGATAAATAAATTACCGCTGTCTGCAACACGCTTGCACTGCAAACGCACTCTGCAGCCGGCGGCCGGCTGGGCGCCGCTCATGGGCCTGGTGCATGTGCAGCTGCGCAGAGGGCCTCTGCCTGCCGCCCGGAATGCTGTGCCTCGGTTCGGAAGTGAAAAGGGTGTGTCTTGCTTTTATTTTTGGCTCTACTGCAGGGCAGTAGAATCTGAGGAGCAACTCTGTGTCCTTTATTTTGCTAGGGTGCTCTGGCTCTTCCCCTACCTCAAGCCCTCTCCTCTGGTCCACACTTCCGTTCTTCCTCTGAGCACGGAAATCAGGCACCTAGCTTCTTCCCAGGAGACCTCAACTTTGTTCTTAGCTGCCCAGGGCCTGAAGTGTCTCAAAGCCAAGTTTCAAGCTGTTTACAGTTGTGTTCTTTCTGCAGGTGCAGACACTGAGAACAAATTGTCTGCGATAGATAAGCCTGTACTGGCCTGGGAGGGCCTGGGTGGCACTCCTTGGGCATAATGTACTTTCATCTGGGCAATTTGGAAGCTCAGCTGGCAGAGTGACAGGTGTAATGAACTTAATGGTCTTGCCCTAGTTGTTTGCGGACACATGGCTCATGTTACAAAGCCACCTCATACGAGGAGCCCCTGCCAAATGATTTGCTCTTCCCTTTGCGGATGGGACTTGGGGGCCTGGACAACTGAGTGGTGTTAAGGTGGGGAAGGGGGTGGGTGTGAGCGATGTATGTGTGCCCTCATCTGTGCTATTCCCGAAAGGACCTAGAGAACCTAGAGAATCTCCTTAAAGTGGGTCTGGAGAGAAAGAGATCCTTCCCACCCGCACTGGCTAGCCGTTCCTCCATGCCAGGTGTCGTGAGGACCCTCTGTGCAGGTGTGCTTCAACTTCCTGCCTCTGGGGTTTGCAGAATGGCAGGCTTTCTGCCATGCTGTGTGGCTTCCTGGTGTGCTGCCGGCCTGGCCGCTGGGATTCTCCAGAAGAGGGCTGGGCCGGCAATGCACAGCCAGACATTGTTCCTAAAGTCTGTGGCCCCAGGGGCCAGCAACCTGTGCATAGAGCTGCAAGGGAATTTCCGTGGGAAAGTCTCACTGCTTCCGCAGGCAGTCACAGGAGAGGCTATAGGAGGGCCAGGCTGCTTTCCAAAGGGCTCTATGACCTCTAACAGGGGCACTTGGTCAGATAGTAATAACAGCAGCTCCAGGTGCTTCTGTAGTCTCTCCTGTGTGCCAGGCTCTGTTCTGAGTGCTGCCATACACTGATTCACTCATCTAATCCTCACTGCGGCCCTGTGACATGGGTCCTTCTGCCATCCCCATTTTACAGAGACATCAAGACATTGCCCAGATTCACCAGCTTGTGAATAAAGGGTGGAGCAGCCTAGACAGTCTGGCTCCAGGTTCTGGGATCTGCCTCTGGAGCTAGATGAGGTGGGGCTTGGGTCAGGAATTCATCTGGGACCACTTGCTGGCTGGGGGCCATTCTCTTCTTGTCCCCATATAGGTCCCACTGGGACTCTATCCAGCCAGCAAGCTCAGGGCTTTGTCCTCCCTGCCTCCCTGCTGTGGCCTGCCCTCTCCAACTCCCTCCCCTGTTTTTAATCCTAATCTCTGCTCTCTGCCTGTCTTGCCTATGGCAAGAACCTCAGTTTTGAGGACTGATCCATTGCAGCTTTGTCTCTGCCCACCTTATCCCTGAGTTCCTTGAGAGAAAGACAAAGCAATAATCAGCAGGAGTGTTGGTATTGCCAGATATTAGAACTGCACTGGTCCTGAAAACCATTTCCATCAGCCTCTCTGCAGCACCTCTGGGTGTAGCCTGGGGGGAGTGTGACTTCCTGGTTCCTGGGATGACATCAGGGCTAGAGGAGGAGCAGCCAACTGCCTGGGCCTGGGGGCGTGTGCTTTTAATGACCCCGCCAGCTGTCCCTTCACTCGGAAGGATGCAGTTCATCCCAGGACAAAGAGCACTACAGTTTCTTAAAAAATGAAAAAAAGTTATCCCATCTTTAAGAGTCTCTCTGTTTTTTTTTGTTTGTTTTTTTCTGAGATAGAATGCCCCTTTATCACCCAGGCTGGAGTGTACAGTGGCTCACTGCAACCTCCACCTCCCAGGTTCAAGCGATTCTTGTGCCTCAATCTCCTAAATCGACTAACTGGGATTACAGGCATGTGCCACTATATCTAGCTATTTTTAGTAGAGATGAGGTTTTGTCATGTTGGTCAGGCTGGTTTCACACTCCTGACCTTAAGTGATCTGCCCACCTCAGCTTCCCAAAGTTCTGGGATTACAGGCATGAGCTACTGCACCTGGCCCATTTATGTACTTTTTAAAAAACTTAGCGTTCTTTGGTGAACATTTTTCATGTGATTTAAATATTCTCCAAAAATCCCACCTCTGGACCATATAATATCTATTCTATGGTTATATTGTTATTTTTTAAAACCAGTTTTATGACATTGAGGCTGTTACCAGTTTTCTCTGTAATAAATATGACTACATTGAACATCTTAAAATTTTTTTTTTAGAAATTTGTTACATAACTTTATAATTTAAAAAAATGGAGATGGGGGTCTTGCTCTGTTGCCTAGGCTGGAGTGCAGTGGTATGATCTCAGCTCACTGCAACATCCACCTTCCAGGCTAACGCCATCCTTTCCCCTCAGCCTCCTGAGTAGCTGGGACTACAGATACCACCATGCCTTGCTATTTTTTTTTTTAGAGACTGGGTTTTGTGATGTTTCCCAGGCTGGTCTCAAACTCCTGGGCTGAAGTGGTCTGCCTGCCTTGGCCTCCCAGGGTGCTAGGATTACAGGGATGAGCCACTGTGCTTGGCCTGACCATTATTTATTTATTTATTTATTTACATTCTTTGGGTAGATTCTTAAAAGGGTAATTGGGAGGTATAAGACTTTTAGGGGTCCTCTGAAAATATTACCAGATGGGGCTTTCAGAACGAGAGAGGCAACTTACATTTCCCACAGACAAGAGGGTGACTGCGCCCTTGTCAATGCTGAATATTATTTTAAAAACCTTTGCAAATTTGGCAGTAAACAATGTGATATTTAAATTTTCTTTCCCACCTTTTTATTTCAAAATTCTGACGTTGTATCTGGATCACTGGCAAAAAGAGTTTTGCTGTTTGCTAGAATTTTGTTAAGGCCAAACGTCATATCCGTGGATGATCCCAGCAGGTGGGGTAAGACCTCTGTGCTTTTTAAAATTCGAATTAATTTCTACTCAGGTCGGTGCAGGGCAATACATATTCGAATAACATGTCCTTTACACAAATTATAGGATATGGTGGCCATAGTTCATCACCACCTACTAAAGTGGTTTTTTTCATCTCAAGCTTTAGGACCAACAGCTTAGGGGGTCAGACACTGTTCATAGTTGCTGCAACTCTGGAAGGGCTGAGGCCTTGGAGGAAAGCAGAAAGCTTTAGCTCATTTGCAGAGGACATGGAGGTCCTCTGCAGAGGACACAAGCATGAAGTATGGAGGAAATGAAATTATAGGATATGGTTGTGCTCTTGGTCTCCCCCCAGCCTCCTCATCCTCCCTCTTTAGAGGTAGCCTTCAACTCGCAATGGAGAATGAGGGCCCGGAGAGAGAGTGGAGTCAGCACCTGGCTGTTTGGATAGCCCTTCCATACCTTGTTCAGTGACTTGTCTTCATTTCAGATGACCACTTTTGGCATCACACAGAAAATTCATGATGGACGCTCCTCCATACTTCATGGGGTAACCACTTTAGCAGGTGGTGATGATCTAATTAAAGGCAGTCTTTCGTTGAGGGTTTGGAAATGGTTGGAATGTAGGGTGCTTACTGTGCTGGAGGAAGCAAGATGGCATTACTTTCTCTAGGGCTGGTTGTGATCATTGCGATTTTGTTCACAGGTACCGGAGCTCATCGAGTGGGGAGACCCCCATGTACTGTGCAAGGCGCTCACCTGCTCTTTGGTGTGTGCCAGGGTTGCTCCTCCACCTGGTGTTGCCTGGGGGACAGTGAGCAGGCCCTGCAGGACCTGGTAGGCTCATGTATTAGTCCGTTCTCATGCTGCTGTGAAGAAATACCCAAGACTGGGTAATTTATAAAGGAAAGAGGTTTAATTGACTCACAGTTCCACATGGCTGGGGAGGCCTCGGGAAACTTACAGTCATGTTGGAAGCGGAAGCAAACATGTCCTACTTCACTTGGCAGCAGGAGAGAGAAGTACAGAGTGAAGGAAGGAAAAGCCCCTTATAAAACCATCAGATCTCACGAGAACTCACTATCATGAGAATAGCATGGGGACCCGCCCTCATGATCTATTCCCTTCCCATGAGGTCCTTCCCACAACACATGGGGATTATAATTTGGATTACAATTCAAGGTAAGATTTGGGTGGGGACACAAAGCCTGACCATATCAGCACAGTTCTGTGTTCTGTGCGAAAGCCTTCAAAGAGGTGCCTAGGTGTGTCTGCAGGTGCAGATGGCAGAAGCTCAGCTGGTAATGGCATGCCTCATCTCCCTGAGACCACAGACTGGGTTCTTCTCAGCTCCACCAGGCCTGCTGTCAGCACCACACTCTGTCCCAGGTGCACACCTGCCCTCAGCTGTGGCAGTGCTGAGGCCCTGGAGATGGATTCCGAAAGACTGGAGATGGGATGAGGAGGCTTGTGGAGCAGAGTTAGAGCGTGCTAAAGGCTGCTAATGAGGTGGCAGTCCTCCAGTGATCTGGCCAGTGGGGTCCCTCAACATCTTTTGAGGAGCACGTTTCTACCACAGTCCTTGGCGGTTCTCCCTTTTCCCCAGCGAGTCAGTGGCTCCGATGTCACTGTGAGGGTGCTTGCCATTGACCCGGGGGATTTGGGTGCCTGACAAATCCACCTTGTATTTGTTATTGGCTGAGGTGTGTGGGGCTAACCGATTTCTGTCTGATTTAACCTTGCTATTTGGCTTGCTTCTGCAACACTGTCCCTGCTTTCCTAGTGAGGACAGGGGCCTTCTGGATATATGTGTACAGGACTGGAGGAAATGTTGGCGGTTGGTTGGCTTGGTTGAACATTTGTTTTTCTGCTACTTTGATGATTGAGATAAATCTTGAGCCCTCAGCCAGGCACAAGGCTCATGTTTGTAGCCAGAATACTTTGGGAGGGTGAGGCAGGAGAATCACTTGAGGGCAGGAGTTTGAGATTAACCTGGGCAGCATAGTAAGATGCTGTCTATACAAAAAAAAATTTTAAAAATCGTACCCCCTAAACAGTTACCTTTCCTCCATATTGAATATGACATTCAAAATTGTTTACTTCTAAACTAGAGGTCCTGGGATTTTGCATTTTTTCATCTGAAGAGTAATGTAAAAATAATAAATGTTGTGTCTGTACAGTCACAACTAGCTATATGTAGTAAATTTAGTCCAGAAAAATCACGACATTTGTTTTCTGATAACGTTGAGCTTTGAATGAAGCGGAGCAGTTGTTATCTGTTGGGACTCTTGGTGCCTTACCCTTTAATGTCAATCCTTATCCTTCGGTTGCTGTAACATTGTTTGTGTGTTGGAGTTTTACAGTCAGGGCACATTTATGTGTCTGAGGGAATGGGTCCTGTTCTGCCATCTGCATGGAGGAAGCTGTCCCCATGGGACCCACCCAGGAGGCAGTGTCCGGCTGAAGCGCTGGCCTGTGTGTCAACTGCTGTGGGGGAACTTCGTTGTCCACAGTGTGCTTGGGAGGATTCAGGTAAACGCGCTGTCTCCTGGCTTCCCGAGGGCTTGTCATGGGCAGATGCTCAGTCATCCTTCTGGCTGTCCCTTCTGGGCCCCTGTGCTGCCGGGTCCCTCGGAGGCTGTGCAACCTGGGGAAAGTGACTGACTCTCTAGGTCTCAGTTTAGTCTTCTCTGAAATAGCTGTTTGCCCACCTTGTAGGTTTTTGAGAGGATTAGATAAGATCATATGTATGCAGATCAGGTGGGACAGGCCAGCTACCACAGCAAGTGCTCAGTAAAGGTAGCTCGTGAGTTAAGTGTGCACTTGTGAGGCATCTGCCCTGTGCTGGCACAGTCAGAGACCCAGTTCCCACTTTTGGGGGCATAGAGACCAAGGAGAAGATAGAGTTTGTGTGCTGGAAGCAATTAGCAAGTAAGAGCGATTTCACAACCACATCTTGAACTAAGCAGTTGTTCAAGATGTGAAGGAGAGTGAGGCCCCCGGGCCCAGAGGTGGTGGCCCTGACCCACCCTTGCTCCCTCTTTTCTCTCTCCTTTTACTCTTTCCTCCTCTGCGCATTCTTATGGAGCGCTCAGGATGTCCACGCACTAGGCACTGGGGGTACAAAGATAAAGACATGACTCTGTCCACAAACTGGCAGAAGACAGATATGCCCACAGTTGCTACATAGGACTAACGACTGCACTAGGGAGACAGAGGAAGATGTAGGTAGATGCACTGTCTCCTGGCTTCCTGAGAGCTCAGTTTACTTTGATCAATCAAGGGAGACTTCATGGAGGAGGCCAAATGCTGTTATCTGAATGTTTGTGTGTCCCTGAAACTCTTCAGTGGAAACGTAACTCCAGTGTGATAGTATTGAGCAGCGGCGCTTCTAGGAGGGGATTAGATCACGAGGCTCCTCCCTCATGTGTGGGATCAGTGCCCTTATAACAGATGCCAGAGCAGCTTGTTCACCCCTTTCACCACTCAAGGACTCATAGAAGGCGCCATCTGTGAAGAATGGACCCTTAACACACACCGAATCTGCTGGCATCTTGATCTTGGACTTCACAGCCACCAGAACTGAGAGCAGCACATTTTTGCTGTTTCTAAATGACCCTATTTAAGGTATTTTGTTATAGCAGCATGGCTGGACTGAGACATGGACCTTGGGCTGAGACTTGGTGAAAGAACAGTTTTTTTTTTAGGTGGACAAACAGAGAAAAAGTGTTCTAGGTCAGTGGGTTGCAGAGAGAAAATACTAGAGCGTGTATACTTATTTTTGTTTTATTTTTTAATATTTTGTGTATTATGTGTACAGTGTACTATTACCATAGTATGTGTGTATAATTTATAATTTATAAGTGAATATACATGACCTGTTTGCTTAGACATTTTTGCTTGTAGGAGTATATGCTTAAGAAAACTGGGGGTCTGCAGGTGGGCAGGGGGAACGTGTTAAGACAGAGGGGGAGGGCAGGGCAGGCCATGCATGCTGCAGGCAGGGGAAGAGGCGGGAGGGCATCTGTGGGTGTCATGGGTAGATGCTACTGCTCACAGTGGCTGAAATTTTCAAACTCAAACTCTAAATTACTTCTGTAGCTTTTAGGTGTCATGATCTCAAAATCCATGGACCACATCTTGCTCCTTTTCTGCCCTGACTCTCCCAGGCTCCTCTTCCTGGTACATGCTGTCTGAACTCTTGAGGGTGAATCCTGACACAGGTTCGGGAGGGATTGGACATACCAATTTGGTGATCAGAAATGTTGATAGGACTGCTTTATTTGTGTGGAGAAATATTCCTCAGGAGGGTGAGATTATTTATTTATGCTTGGAACAGGGGCACCCTTTTAGGGCCCATGTGCATTTATAAGTATGGAGACTTGTAATTTGGTGAAGCTTGTTTCGGAAATCCAGGGTGCCTCGGGGCTGCAGGGGTGAGTGAAGGTTCTTTCCCTGCCTTCATGGAATGTGCACCATAGGTAGTGTCATCTTCAAGTTCAGAGGCATATAGGTGTCTGTGGGTGAGGCAGAAGACAGGTGGTGTGGGAGGAAGCGGGAGGGAGAAGGGGGAGAGGGGTCTGGACAGATTTTTCTCGAGAAGAAATGGTAGTTGACACATGGCTCGTGTGAAAGGTGGGCGTATGCGGAAAGGCCAGAGGCTTGTAGAAGCAGGAGTGAGCCAGGGCATGTGGCACTGTGCTTGGTGAGCATGTCAGGCGGCCCTCACCCTTAGGGTCACCATTCCTCCTAACTGTGGCCCTGCCCGAGGTAGCGTGAGTCTGGTTCTGGTGTGGAGTATTTTTTCCCATCTTTGTAGAAAACCAAATCAACCAGCCAGGAATGGTAAAGAAAAACATGGAATTGTTTGCAGTGGGGAGTTCTGTCTCGACCACAGAGCTTTAATAGTTGATATTTGTTTACATTTCACAAAATGCTTAAATTTCATACTTCATGCAGTTCACTCCAGGAAGCCAGGTTTATCACTTCAGCATGGGAATAATAATGCCTTCTATTTGCAAAGCATGTGTAACTATTTCA